AAGAAATGTCAATTTCTATAATAAGAATGTAAGAATAGAATTAATAAAAAATTAAATTTTATTATTGTTGGATTGCAATATTTATATATTAAATTTAAGTTACTTTTTAATAGGTATTTTTTAAAAGGATTTGTGTTTATTTATTTTATCTCTTAAAATTTTGAAAAAAATTAATATAAAACTATGATATTTTAATAAAATATCATACTAGTAATTTAATTTGTTAGAGATAAATTAATATTTTAATAGTAACTTAGAGATTCGAGATAGATAAAATTCAATAAAAGAAAAAAAGAAAAAAGAAAAACAAAAGGTATAGAATGGTTAGAGTTATGGCCTATGGGTGCCATTTACCTTTAAAACCCCTATTGTAAATAATGGACCAACTTAGTTAAATTAATTCAGACTAATTAAAATAACCTTACTTGACGCCAAACTAATTGACTCGTCCGGCACCCTTTCACATTTTCCATCTTTTCCTTTTGTTGAATAAGATTGCAGTCTTCTATCTTTTTGTCAAATGTAAAAGAAGTTTTGGAAGCCACCTAGAGTCTTCTTCTTTAAACAAAATTATTATGCCGTCACCGAACTAATCAAGACTCGTCTCCCTAATTACCATAATAATAATAATAATAATATTTTCAAAAAAAAAAAGAAAAAAGAAAAAAGGAAAAGACTAACCAGGATCTAAACCTTTGACACAAAATAAAAACCAAGGCTCAAGACTTCACCTTAGGCTGCTGGGAGTTCGTACAGCCTAGGACAATCCTTGCATTATTCAATGTTCATGCATGCCCGCACGCAAGGGCGATTTGAATAATAACTTTTATGTCTATTTTTTTCTTTCTTTCTCTCCCTGAATATATATTGCTTATATATATTTTGAGATGAACTGGTCCTGTGATCCAAAACATACAATTCTCCGATTTTTTTTATTTACCTGTTAGTAACTCTAGTTTAATGAATTAAAAATTTAATCCTATATTTTATTGGATGCATTCATACTTGGGGTTCTAGTAACTAGAGAATCCAATGACCAGGGACCCAAGAATGGTAAACTCAAAACAAGCATTGTTGACAATTGGGCATTTTAATACTGATGCAAACCACCTTAATTTACTTATTTATTCAAATAGTACATGCATTTAGTTCCTGACTTATAGGGCCGAATGACATTCATCATTCTTGTAAAAATTTACTTTTTTTTTTTTTCATGTAATGATTTAATTCGGTCTCATAACAATTATTTTTAAAAAAAAAATAGTACATGCATTTGCACAACCTTTGAAGAAATCTTCATAAATTTGATCCAAATGAAGGTGTTTTCTTTTCTTCTCCTTTGAAAGAACTTCTCGACCAAGAAAACATAGTGTTAAAATGGAAACTATTAATTCTCAAATGAAAGCCATAGGAAAAGCTGAAATAACTCGGAAGCTACCTACCAACTAGTAGGCCGCGAGGGGGTGATGAACTTTTTTGAAAGAAAATGGAACACATGAAAACTTGTTTGTCCCCCGTGGTGGTGATCAACTGTTTGAAAAGAAAATGTAATCCATGGAATCCTCTTTTGTCCTATATTTGAACAAAATTGAAAGATAAAGCTACATACATGTCTGCTATCTCTTTTATTGAAACTTCTTTGTCTGAATCTTCTACGATCTACAGGGCAAAAGACATAGCTTGTGGTGTATAAATACACATCATGTCTCGGACATTAATTCCACCACGTCAATTTCGCTAACATTCCTTAGTCAATATCAACACACAAGTATTTTGTGTGTGGTAGCCCAAACCGAACTATTCTTTCTTGTTTTACTAGAGTGGGGTACTTCATCAATATACCAAAATGAAGTTTGGGAAAGAATTTGCATCCCAAATGGTGCCGGAATGGCAAGAGGCGTACATGGACTACGATTTTCTGAAGACCCTTTTGAAAGAAGTCCAACGTTTCAAGCTAAGAAGCAGGCCACCGGCAACTCCGGGTGGCCTGAAGAGGAAGATGACGTTGTACAGAGCTTTCAGTGGCCTAACACAGAGGCAGCAAAATCATCCAAGTCCCTCTTCTAATGACATTGAAAGCCAAGCCATCTTGGTGAATCCGGTAAACGGAGAAGGGTCGGAAAAATACCAGACGACTTTCCTGATGGCGGATGACGAAGGAGGAGAGTACGAACTGGTGTACTTTAGGAGGCTGGACGAAGAGTTAAATAAGGTGGACAAGTTTTACAAGGCTAAGGTCCAGGAGGTGGTGAAGGAAGCGGAAATCTTAAATAAGCAAATGGAAGCTCTGATTGCTTTTAGAATAAAGGTGGAGAATCCACAAGGGTGGCTGTGGGAAGAAAGCTCCGGTGACTTGACTCGGCTTGCTTCCGATGTTGCAGCCTCTGCTGCTGCTCTGGCAGCTTCTACTCCATCTGGGGCAAGAGCAAACCGTAAGTATTCTTCAGCTAAAAATTGACAAACTTCATTTTTTGCCCCATAACTTATGTTTCTTGGTTATGCTTGGGTTTTTGTTTATTATATGCAGGAAGAGTTAATCATATGGAGGTGATTGAAGAGGGATTGACCAGCCATGAGCATTCAGATGAAGATAAAGATGAAAAGGACAACGAGAACTCTTTAGAGGAAAATGTTGAAGCTCCAAAACAAGGAAAAATACTTAAGTGCAAAAAACCAGCTCCATTGCAAATACTAAACCATGTTAAGATGAATAACTCTCTTGAGACTCCTCGATCAACCATTAAAGGCGTCTTAAATGTCCCTAACCACACTGAGCTTAAGTTCACTAGGCAGAATCTAAGGAAAGTTGAAGAGCAACTCAGGCGTGCTTTCATTGAATTCTATCAGAAGCTTCGACTTTTGAAGAGTTACAGGTAATAAAATGATTGATACTTACTTGGATCATCTGTCCTTTTGAACAGTAATTGATCCATTTGTATGTTATGATTGATATTGCAGCTTCTTCCTAACAAACTACGTCGATCAAGTCGATTCTTCTTCCTAACATGTTTGTTCCACTGCATCTGCGCTCCTCTCTACAAGGTATAATTAAAAAACATACAATACTATTGCTTTATACAAAAACCAATGCAGGACAATACCATATCTATAACAGAACTGCATGCGTAATTCTGTTTCTACTGCAGGTGAGACTGCCAGATTTCTTCCTAGCAGATCAGTTCACCAGCCAGGTTCAAGCATTTAGAAGTCTTGAGTTCTACATTTGCTACTATGGCTGGGGAGACTTCAAACACAGACAAAACACATGCAAATCTAGTGATGTATTCAAAGCTTTCAATATCATCGTTGCTCTCATTCCGTACTGGTCTCGCCTCCTTCAGGTAATTAACTTGACTCAAACCTGTCCTAATTTCACCATTGAAATTTGAAATGATGTCAACTATCAACTAATTGCTATAATCTGCATATTCAGTGTCTGCGTCGGCTTTATGAAGAGAAAGATCCTTTGCAAGGATATAACGGACTGAAATACTTGGTGACAATACTTGCTGTTTGTTTTAGAACAGTGGGTTACACTCTTAACAAAGGTCTGACATGGAAAGTGTTGGCCTGGATTTTCTCAGTGATTGCAGCTGTTGTTGGCACATATTGGGACCTTATCTACGACTGGGGACTTCTACAGCTTCATTCTAAGAACAAGTGGCTGAGGGACAAACTCCTCCTCCCTCAGAAGAAGATTTATTTCATAGCAATGGTGAGGAATTAACTTAATCTCTATGTACTTGTGTCAAGAATTTTAAATATCTAAACTAATGGACTGGATTGAAAAACACAGGCCCTGAACGTGTTGCTGAGATTTGCGTGGCTGCAAACTGTGTTGGGTTTCACCTTGTTCTCTTTACACACACAAACCATGATCACCCTGGTTGCTTGTCTGGAGATCATTCGTCGTGGTATATGGAATTTCTTCAGGCTGGAAAATGAGCACTTGAACAATGTAGGCAAATACCGTGCGTTCAAGTCTGTACCGCTGCCTTTCAACTATGATGAGGACGAAGACAAAGATGAGTAGGTTGTTTTGATCCATCTGATCAGAAACAGGTGACATATATATCAAAAGAAAGATTTTAAAAGAGAAGTCTTGGGGTCAAAGTGACCATCTATATCTTATAAAGGATCATTCAATTATAATAGAAGTATGGACTTCAAGTATTACTCTCATGTTTAAAAAAAAAAAAGTTTTTGAAGAGTACAAACTACTCATATCAATTTCATAGAATGTAAGGAGAACTCTAACTCCAAACAAAATACCTCAATTTTTCTTGAAGAAAAAAGAAAAAAATTGCAAAAACGGATGCACATATGCATATCGATCAATAACTAAGAAAAGAATATTTAAAAAGGACAGTAACAGCAGCACTAACTACATTGATAATATATCCCAATAAAAAATTAGAATTTTCAAATAATTAAATGAAATTTGGGCCGAAAATATATACATACATTACTTGAAAT